ACGCCTTCCCAGAAGAGGCGGGGCTGTTATAGCGGCAAAGGGCGGAGCCAACCCAATACTGAACCCTACGGCCTAAGACTGGGGGGCCATTAAAGTTCATGTGCGTGTAAAGGCGTCCCAATACTTGTGGTAATATAATGTGGATAGATAGATAGATAGATAGATAGAAGCAGGCAGGGCAGTGGGGGCAGGTGGTGGGAGGTAGTGGGGCAGGAGGTGGCGGGGGAGGGGAGATCAGTATACACAGCAGGGGCGGAAGCTGCGGAGTGAAGCTGTATTCCTGCCCTCGGTGCACGCAGTGCGGGTTCACTTTAAATGCCGACACCGAGCAGTAAGTAAGGGAAAGCGTCTGGCCGCGGTGCCCACGGAGCTCGGTAATTGAAGGAAGAGCTGCCGCATGGATGAGGTGGGGGCGGGGATCTCCGGGATTGGCTCTATGAAGCGCGATGTTAAAGGGGAGCTCCACTGATAACAATCCTCAGACACACTGCTGTACAATGTTACCAAACAAAGGTATGTAAGGCACCTGATCTTTAGTGAGTCCCTGAACTGAGACAAGCATGCAGCCAGTGAAGGATCAACGTTCTAAAGTCCAGTCCTCCATGCTTGTTGCAGGTCAGTGGCTTACTAGGTGGTATATACAAGATGATGATGATGACAACCTGCTTATAATAACACTTATTATCTGAGCTTTCATTCACATGATCCCTGCAAAAGGTCCCTTGTCCAGGCACTTCCTGTTATGAGGTGACACCGCTCCGTGTCTGTCACCGAATTGTGCTCCTGCGTTGTCACCCTGTAAGTCTTTCATCACACAGTACACACACGCTCAACTGTTGTCACTATCAGATTGGATTTATTTTCTCATGCACAGTACAAGGGGCCCCAGATTGGATTTTAGTTCTCATGTACAGTACAAGGGGCCCCGGATTGGATTTACTTTCTCATGCATGGTGCGAGGGGCCCCGAATGGGATTTTATGTTTCCTGCAGGGTGCGAGGGGCCCCGGATTGGATTTTTTTTCTCATGCACGGTACAAGGGCCCCGGATTTGATTTATTTTCTCATGCATGGTGCGAGGGGCCCCGGATTGGATTTTAGTTCTCATGCACAGTACAAGGGGCCCCAGATTTGATTTATTTTCTCATGCACAGTACAAGGGGCCCCGGATTTGATTTATTTTCTCATGCACAGTACAAGGGGCCCCGGATTGGATTTTAGTTCTCATACACGGTAAAATGGGGCCTGGATTGGATTTTAGTTCTCATGCACAGTACAAGGGGCCCTGGATTGGATTTTAGTTCTCATGCACAGTACAAGGGGCCACAAATTGGGTTTTAATTCTCGTGCAAGGGGCCACAAATTGGGTTTTAATTCTCGTGCACGGTACAAGGGGCCCCGGATTGGATTTTAGTTCTCATGCACAGTACAAGGGGCCAAAAATTGGGTTTTATTTCTCGTGCAGGGTGCGAGGGGCCCCGGATTGGATTTTAGTTCTCATGCACAGTACAAGGGGCCCCGGATTGGGTTTTAATTCTCGTGCAGGGTGCAAGGGCCACAAATTGGGTTTTAATTCTCGTGCACGGTACAAGGGGCCCCGGATTGGATTTTAATTCTCGTGCACGGTGCGAGGGCTCCCAAATTGGATTTTTTTCATCTCATGCACGGTGCGAGGGGCCCCAGACTGGATTTTATTTCTTGAGCACGGTACAAGGGGCTACAAATTGGGTTTTAATTCTCGTGCACGGTGCGAGGGGTCCCAGACTGGATTTTATTTCTCGAGCACGGTAGCAGGGGCCCCGGATCGGATAATTTTTGGGGCTAGTTACGCCTCTGCACAGGTTCAAACCGAGCCAGATCTCAAGGCATTGCGGGAGCCACGGAACCAGCCTGGAGCCCCGAGCGCGATGAGATCATTGTGTTTAACCCCTGCCATTGCTGGGCTGGATGCGAAAGCGGCAGACAGCCGACAGCTGGGGGGGGCCCCGCCGCTCGCTGCAGCTGCCAATGCAAAGGGCCCCCGTTATGGAAGCATTTTAACCCCCCGTTGCCCACCAAGCCCCCATTTTTGCCATCAATGACTATTTGCAAGAGGTCGGAGCGAGTCGCAGCGGCATGCGAAGTGCAGGACCCCGAAGTGCAGGCTGGCGTTCATGAATCTGAATTTTTGGGGATTGGGATCGGAGGGTCGTAGGTGGCGGCACACACCGGGCGGCACACACCGGACAATACAAAGCACACAATACAATGCAACAATGGCAAGTCAATTACAGTAACAAGGTAACGCAGGCTTGTAGGGACGGCAGCCCTGCTCGCAAGAGCTGACGCTCTAACGCAGTCGGGGGGTTGGCATTTGCAATCGGTTACCGTACTCTTTCGGAACCGCCGTCGCTCACCTCTGCGTGGGGTGGTAACCCATAGCAACACGGCCAGAACCTGCAGTCTGGTCAAGGGAAGCTTCGTTCCAGTCGTTGCATCGGGAAATAATCCAGAGCTGCGAGATTTTCCTGCGAACGCAAGAGTGCGACTGCGATACAAAAGGAGAGGGAAGGCATGTTCCACATCAGCTGGCTCTGTTGTCAGACAAGGGGATGAGGAGGAGGACTTGTCAGTCACATGCAATAGCAGAGCCGGCATCCTGTGTGTGCTGAATGGGAGGTGGAGGAGGAGGAGGCAGGAGCATCACTATCTGCAGCTGAGGACATGACTTCCTTCCACCCTGCCAGTCACCAGCACAGGTCACCCTCCTGCACACTATTTTATTACTGCCACTGTTACTATTGTGGTGTTAATAATACATTGTGACTTTATGTCTTATTGTATTTATGTTACTTTTCTTTGACATTTTTGTTGCTGTTTTTGTTATTTATTATTATTGCCAGTGATCAAATATTCGCCTTTTATCGAGAAATGTAAAAAAAAAAAAAGTGTTTTTCAACAAATGAATCTATACAGTTGGAAATCATGTCACTTTTGCATACATGGTATACTATATAAGAGGTATATAGTATATACAGTACAAGGTATATGAGGATATAGAAGGTATATGAGGTATATGAGGATATAGAAGGTATATGAGGTATATAGAAGGTATATGAGGTATATAGAAGGTATATGAGGTATATAGAAGGTATATGAGGTATATAGAAGGTATATGAGGCATATGAGGATATAGAAGGTATATGAGGTATATAGAAGGTATATGAGGATATAGAAGGTATATGAGGATATAGAAGGTATATGAGGGATATAGAAGGTATATGAGGTATATAGAAGGTATATGAGGTATATAGAAGGTATATGAGGATATAGAAGGTATATGAGGGATATAGAAGGTATATAGAAGGTATATGAGGTATATAGAAGGTATATGAGGTATATAGAAGGTATATGAGGATATAGAAGGTATATGAGGTATATAGAAGATATATGAGGTATATAGAAGATATATGAGGTATATAGAAGGTATATGAGGATATAGAAGGTATATGAGGATATAGAAGGTATATGAGGTATATAGAACATATATGAGGTATATAGAAGGTATATGAGGATATAGAAGGTATATGAGGATATAGAAGGTATATGAGGATATAGAAAGTATATGACAGATATAGAAGGTTGCACAACATGATTTCGAAGACTTCCTCGATACATTTTAGGGATGTACATGACATATGAAATGATTTTCTGCCATATTTAGGCCTTGTTCACACCAAGCGCGGAGCAGGTGCAGACCGGATCAAAACTGCGTCCAATGTATTCCAATGGTATTTTTTGCTCCAGTTCACATCGCAGCGTGCAGCTCCAGAGCAGGTGAAAAAAACTGCAGCAGGCCCTATTTTATCTGCTCTGGATCTGCAAACGCATCAAAAACGTGTCAAATGCCGGGAACGCCCTGAAAGCCCATGTAAGGCCTTGTTCACACCAAATGCAGAGCAGATCCGGTCAGGTTTCTGCACACGCATGCTAGTCTTTTAGATGAGTTTTTGACGCATCTAAAAAAAATATCTATTTTTGTTTTAAAGTTTAAAATGGGCTTTCAGGGCGTTCCCGGCATTTGCATGCGTTTTTGATGCGTTTGCAGATCCAGAGCAGGTAAAATAGGGCTTGCTGCAGTTTTTTTCACCTGCTCTGGAGCTGCACGCTGCGATGTGAACTGGAGCAAAAAATACCATTGGAATACATTGGACGCAGTTTTGATCCGGTCTGCACCTGCTCTGGATATAGAAGGTATATGAGGTATATAGAAGGTATATGAGGTATATAGAAGGTATATGAGGTATATAGAAGGTATATGAGGTATATAGAAGGTATATGAGGTATATGAGGATATAGAAGGTATATGAGGTATATAGAAGGTATATGAGGATATAGAAGGTATATGAGGATATAGAAGGTATATGAGGGATATAGAAGGTATATGAGGTATATAGAAGGTATATGAGGTATATAGAAGGTATATGAGGATATAGAAGGTATATGAGGGATATAGAAGGTATATAGAAGGTATATGAGGTATATAGAAGGTATATGAGGTATATAGAAGGTATATGAGGATATAGAAGGTATATGAGGTATATAGAAGATATATGAGGTATATAGAAGATATATGAGGTATATAGAAGGTATATGAGGATATAGAAGGTATATGAGGTATATAGAACATATATGAGGTATATAGAAGGTATATGAGGATATAGAAGGTATATGAGGATATAGAAAGTATATGACAGATATAGAAGGTTGCACAACATGATTTCGAAGACTTCCTCGATACATTTTAGGGATGTACATGACATATGAAATGATTTTCTGCCATATTTAGGCCTTGTTCACACCAAGCGCGGAGCAGGTGCAGACCGGATCAAAACTGCGTCCAATGTATTCCAATGGTATTTTTTGCTCCAGTTCACATCGCAGCGTGCAGCTCCAGAGCAGGTGAAAAAAACTGCAGCAGGCCCTATTTTATCTGCTCTGGATCTGCAAACGCATCAAAAACGTGTCAAATGCCGGGAACGCCCTGAAAGCCCATGTAAGGCCTTGTTCACACCAAATGCAGAGCAGATCCGGTCAGGTTTCTGCACACGCATGCTAGTCTTTTAGATGAGTTTTTGACGCATCTAAAAAAAATATCTATTTTTGTTTTAAAGTTTAAAATGGGCTTTCAGGGCGTTCCCGGCATTTGCATGCGTTTTTGATGCGTTTGCAGATCCAGAGCAGGTAAAATAGGGCTTGCTGCAGTTTTTTTCACCTGCTCTGGAGCTGCACGCTGCGATGTGAACTGGAGCAAAAAATACCATTGGAATACATTGGACGCAGTTTTGATCCGGTCTGCACCTGCTCCGCGCTTGGTGTGAACAAGGCCTTAAAGTAAAAAAAAATTACAAATGTTTTATTTTATTTTTTTACCAAAAACGCGGCACAACCCACTGCACTACGTGTGCAGAAACCTGAGCGTATCTGCTCTGCATTTTGTGTGAACAAATCCAATACTCAGTGATTGTGTGACGGGATTATTATCATGTCGCTCTATTATCTCGATATCATTTATTAAATAATTTGATTCTGTTGCGGTGGCTGAGATATCATAGTGTACATGACGCAGGGAGAAGTATATTGTACAGTGTACATGACGCAGGGAGAAGTATAATACTGTACAGTGTACACGACGCAGGGAGAAGTATATTGTACAGTGTACATGACGCAGGGAGAAGTATAATACTGTACAGTGTACACGACGCAGGGAGAAGTATATTGTACAGTGTACATGACGCAGGGAGAAGTATAATACTGTACAGTGTACACGACGCAGGGAGAAGTATATTGTACAGTGTACATGACACAAGCAGAACTATAATATTGTACAGAGTGATTTATTGTTGGGAGCAATATTAAAGGTGAACACCGGGCCAAAAAAGTACATACAGTATAACCTGCCAAACGAGTTGTATTCTGTTTATCCAGTTCTGAGATTTATAGGGAGGAAGGATGGATGGATGGGTGAATATAGGGAGGAAGGATGGAAGGATAGAAGGCGGGATGGATGGATGGATATAGGGAGGAAGGATGGATGGATGGATGGATATAGGGAGGAAGGATGGATGGATGGGTGAATAGGATGATGGATGTCATGGGGGGGATAGATGGATGGATAGATAGGAGAGGGATAGATGGATGGAGGGATAGAAGGTGGGATGGATGGATGGATATAGGGAGGAAGGATGGATGGGTGAATAGGATGATGGATGTCATGGGGGGGATAGATGGATGGATAGATAGGAGAGGGATAGATGGATGGAGGGATAGAAGGCGGGATGGATGGATGGATATAGGGAGGATGGATGGATGGGTGAATAGGATGATGGATGGAATGGGGGGGATAGATGGAGGGATAGATGGATGGAGGGATAGATGGATGGATGGGTTGATGGTTGGAAGGATGGACGGCAGAGGGATGGATGGATGGATTGGGGAGACAGATGGATAGATATGTGGATGGATGGACAGATAGATGGGTGGATGGATGGATGGCAGAGGGATGAGAGATGGATTGATGGAGAAATAGATAGATAGATGGATGTGTGGATGGGTTGATGGATGGACGGATAGATTGATTGGTGTGTGAGTAGAAGGATAGATGGTGGGTGAGTGGATGGACGGGAGGGTGGGTTGATGGATGCATGGGGGATGGAAGGATGGATGGGAGGTGGATGGATACAGGCATAGAGAGATGGATAGATGAGTGGGTGTGTTGATGAATGAATAGATGGGTGGGTGGGTGAATGGATGGATGGGTGGATCTGCGGATGGATAAATTAATTGATGGATGTGTGTGTAGATGGATTGATTGATGGATGGATGGTTGGGTAGGTGGATGGATGAATGGAAAGACGGGTGGTTTGGCGGGTGAGTGGATGGATAGAAGGATGGATGAGTGAGTGAGTGGATGGATAGAAGGATGGATGAGTGAGTGAGTGGATGGATAGAAGTATGGATAATAGGATAGGTAACCAGCTTTCTCAATTCAGATAATTCTGAATTGAGAAAGCTGGTTGGATGACCAGTGAAACGTCTTCAATAAAAATACAGCAAGTCCAGTTGCCTTGACTTATTTTTTACAGATACCTTTTATAGAACGACTCCATCAATTGTATGAGAGCTCCAACTCCTCAAGAGGCAGAGAAATCGGAACCATTCTACACCCCGAGAGGACCTATCATACAATGACCATGGCAGAGCCCCAACCTCACAGTCCTCACCCCACTCACAGGTTCCATAATCCCTCCCTCTCTCTTATTCTCTCTTACTCTCTCTCTCTCTCTCTCTCTTATTCTCTCTCTCTTATTCTCTCTCCCTCTCTCTTATTCTCTCTCATTCTCTCTCTTATTCTCTCTCTCTTATTCTCTCTCTCCCTCTCTTTTATTCTCTCTCTCTTATTCTCTCTCTCCCTCTCTCTTATTCTCTCTCTCCCTCTCTCTCTTATTCTCTCTCTCTCTCCCTCTCTCTCTTATTCTCTCTCCCTCTCTATTATTCTCTCTCTCTCTCTCCGTCTTCTCTCTCTCCGCCCTCTCTTTCTCTCTCATTTTCTCTCTCTCTCTCATTTTCTCTCTCTCTCTCTTCCTCTCCAATTCTCT